CATGCATTTATATGCCACACAACGTGGAAAGTGGATATTTGAACGAAGGAGCTTATATATGGCACTAATTTTTAACGCTATTGTGTTCAGTTAATTTTCAGGGATCATGGAAAATAAATCTCCACAAGGGTTATTTCTAAAGCACGATCGTCGTGCGCGTAGCGAGGTGGACTTCGAGACGGCACGACGCAACAACGCTATACCGCAGTCAATCGATAAGGATTTCCCGATCTTCTCGAAACTGAACGTTCAACCGAATGCGTACGCGAACTATCGTCATGCATACTACGACGACAACATGACCCCTTATGCGGGAGCCAGTGGACTGCGACCGTACACAGGCGCACAATCGATGCCACAGGCCAGATATCAGTTCGCGGATCCTCGTTTCTCGAACTTCTCGGCCAGTCGAGCCGGCAGTTATCAATCGCTGGTGGCACCAACGGCGAACCACACGGCACCATCGTACGCCTCCAGCGAAGCCTCATCGTTTGCGCGAGGTGGCGCTAAAGCAAAAGCAGGTGCCGCAAAACACAACTTGGCCAGTCGCTTCACACCGCGCCCGCAAAATCGCATCTATCCTACTGGTCGTGTTCCCCCGCAGACAGACAACCGCCCCTCGCCATTCGATGGGAAACGTCCATGGTATAAGCGCAAGATGTGCATGTTAAGCGCTGGTATTATTGGCCTAATCTTCATCGCGCTCATCGTCTTAACCATCGTATTCGGTGTGAAGGCGTATCGAAACTCCAGCAGTGGTGAGTGCTTTGGAGCGATTTGAACTGAAACGAACTGATTCTTGTCACCATTCCAGCTTAGGTGATAAAGTAAATAAGTAAGAATGAAATGATCGATGTTGTTTAGCTAGCCTCAAATTGATCTTCTATCGCATATGAGTGAGTTTGACTGAAAACTTTTTTTATGATACAGCATAAGATGAAGATAACAAATGGAATTTATGAATCAGCGTATCTCATGAACGATGCTTGCATGAATACAGTCTGGATCGACGGAACCACCGGCAAGCTATGCAGTCTTCTCAATGATTTCATAAAATAGCAAAAAACATTGATCTAATATTGCAGAAATCTAGTCAATATGTGTGCATCGGTTAAATTTTTGAATAGCATCTGATTAAGATATTGTTTTAGGAGCAGCATCAGGACCACAAGGACCCACAAACAAGATTACTATCGCTTTCCCATTCGGATACTCGAATCGTACTCTATCTAAAGGCGGTATCTCGAGTCAGGTCCTGGCCTCTCAATTCATCAGTTTCTTGATTATTTACTCAATGCTGAAAGCTGACTCGAATGAATCATCAGGCAATGTGAATTGCG